CTTTGCCAGTACCATGCTGATTTTATCACAGTAGCTTTGTAGTATAGTTTCAATTTGGAGATTGTGATACCCCCCAGCTATGTCTCTGTTGCTTAGAATTGCTTTAGCTATTCTAGGTCTCGTCTGGTTCCAAATGAATTTTTGGATTGTTTTTTCTAGTTCTGTGAAGTATATTGTTGGAATTTCAGTTGGCATTCAGAGCACCATTTCTTTGTGGTACCCAATACAAATGAGTCGGTAACCCTGTTTTTCCTTCACAGTACATTTTGAGTGGCTGTTACAGTGTAATAGAAATTTAGGAAATCTTTGTTGGAGTTTAAAAATATGCCAAAAATGATGTAGGACTATATGGTAAAGATTATTTACTTGGGTTTTGATTTCAGATAACCTAGGTTTTTTTGTAGCTGCTTGCTGCTGGCACTAGTTGCTGGCTGATCTTGGGCAGAAGCCTGGTAGAGTAACTGATAGTAGTGGTTACTATTTTTTACCTTTCTTCCTGCTTCCCATCCATCTCTGGTTATGAATACCTTGAGAATAAAGATACCATTTAGATCTAGCTAGCAGCAGAACCTGCTGTGGTGCTTGACATCTTATGAAAGTTGAAAATTTGAAGTTAAGATTAAGAGGTATACTTATGGCATAAATGGTTGTTAATCCCCTGCTTCACCTGTACTGAATTGAACTGCAAAGCTCCTTTCGAAAAGCTCCTTGTTCTCTGCCACCCAGGATTTATACATACATACTACTTTCTCTCTTCCGAATGTTTACACTCACTCTTTGCTGATAACTTGTTTTTCATGACTCAGTGTAAACCTTGCCTCCTCCTGGAAAGCCTTTCATAACCTCTGTATACATGTTGGCTCATTTCTCTGGGTTTCAGTTCTAGGCAGGTAATTTTTGTTGTGGGTACATAGTCCTGTTCATTGTAGGATGTTTAACAGCATCCTTGGTCTCTACCCACCAGTTGCCAGTAGCATCCTTTCCACTTGTGAAAACCCAGAATGTCTCCACTCATCACCCAAGTGTCCCTTTGGGGACAAAAATCACTTCTGATTGAGAAACTACAATTGTAATCCTTATTAAATAGCATAATAATTGCTAAATTTTCTTAGCTATCCCCCCCCCCCACCAGTAAAATGTAAGTTCCTTTTGAGGACAGAGACTTTACCTTATTTATACTTTTTATCCCCAGCATGTAGCCCGAGTGTGACATATAATCAGTAAATAATCAGTAAATATTTGTTCTTTGGATTGAACATAATTCAGCATAGTGGGTCAGAGAGAAACTTTGTGATATACAATCCCAGTTTTAGATTGGGGCTTGAGTTAATTATTAAATGTAGTGTAACCAGGAGAGGTGACACATGCCTATAATCTTAGCACTCTGGGAGGCTGAGGCAGGACAATTACAAGTTCATGCCAAGCTTGGGCGACATAGTAATTCAGCAAGACCCTGTTTCTAAATGGATGGACGGATGGGGCTGGGGATGTAGTTCAGACCCTAGGCTTGATCCTCAACTTTGGTCTGGATATTACGTGTTTTGAATTTTGAGTCCAGTATTAAAAGTGGCAAAAAGATAACTGTGCTGTCTTAAAATAAAATTCATAGTAGTCAGTATACAATGGTAGACCCTAAGATCTTGTGAGTAAGGGGCAGGAGCTTTGTTGACTAACTCCTGTTCAATGAAAATGTTGATAAATAGTGTTCTTTGTTTTTTCTTTGTACCCGGGATCGAACTCTGGACCTTGCACCTGTGAGGCTGGTGGTAGAACCACTGAGCTAAATCCCCAGCCAAATAGTGTTCTTATGTAGAATTTTGTAAAGCACTTTTTTTCTTGGGCTTTTCACTTTGCATATGAGTAGATGTTAATGACGTTTCTGTGATACTGGGCTTTTTCCCAAAAGCAAAAACTCCACTTTTAGAGTCAAATCTACTTTTAAATGGTGTTAGTTCTTAAGCTAATTTTGACTCCCTGCAGTCACTGTACTTGTTCTTTGTCCAGGAGGAACAGCACAGCATTTAGTAGCAGACTTTGAGGAGTTAAGATGAAGAGAATATTTAAATTTGGGTCATCTTTTTCAGTCACCAGCCTTGCTCAGTTTTTAAAAGCAGAAGGCCTTCCTGTTTTCCAGTCTTTTTATCATCCCATCCTCCTGCCACTACCTGGTCATTTCATCTTTCACCAGATTCTTTCAGCTCTGCCTACCACTGCCACCGCTGAACTACCCTGGTCTTAAGTATTGCCATGTCTTATCTGGACTGTGGTAGTAGCTTTCTCATGGGTCTTCCTGTTCTTATTATCCTTTTCCAGTCAGTTCTTTACACAGCAGCCAAAATGATATATTAATAAAATGTCATTTAGCTCATGTCCTTTTTTTTTTTTTGGTATCAGGGATCGAACTCGGGATCTTGTGCTTGCTTGCTTGCGAGGCAGGCAGTGGAACCACTGAGCTAAATCCCCGGCCCGCGTGTCATTTTCTTGTATTAGAAAAGTACTCTAGGGCTGAGGGTGTAGCTTTGTGGTAGAGCATGAGCTTAGCAATGTGGGGCCCTGAGTTCAAACCCCAACACCAAGAAGAAAAAGAAGAGCAAAAACCCCACTTTAGTGTCAAATCTACCTCTAAATGGTGTCAGTTCTTAAGCTAATTTTTTTTTTTTTTGGTACCAGGGATCGAACTCGGGACCTTACGCTTGTGAGGCAGGCGCCAGAACCACTGAGCTAAATCCCCATCCCACTTAAGCTAATTTTGACTCCAAACAGTCACTGTACTGGTTCTTTTTCCAGGAAGAACGGCACAGTATGCTGGGCTCTGGATTTAAAGCTGAGCGTTTACGTGTCAATTTGAGATTAGTCATAAACCGGCTCAAACTACTGGAGAAAAAAAAAAGTGAGTGATGCATAATTTCTTTACTTTTTCTTTCCTAAAATACATCACGTGTTAGCACCCCAGTACTGAGTCTTCTGGGCCAGTACTGTGAAGTTTCAGTATATCTTTTAGAGCATATCTTTTTGAGCTTTGGATACATTTCTGCCTTTTCTGACTAGTTAGACTGGGTTATTTTTTGCAGAAAAAGTGACATTATGGACCTTCCACATTCATGGGTTCTACATTTGGATTTAACCAACTACATACCGTTCAGAAATATTCAGAGAAAAATTACATCTGTAATATGTACAGATTTTTTCTTTACATTATTCCTAAATAATGCATTACACCACATCTGTACATTCTATTAATGATTATAAATAACCTAGAGATGATTTAAAGTACACAGGATATTATATGTAAATACTATGACATTTTATATACGGGACTTGAGCATCCTTGGATTTGGTGTCTATGGGGTGCCTTGGAACCAATCTCTTGGATATCTAGGGATAACTGTACTTTGTTGCCTTAGAATTAGTAGCATGACTCTTGAGTTGGAAATGTTCTCACAGAGTAGCAACTCTGCTGTATTTGAGGGTAGGAGTAGATTAGCTAAAGCAGTATGAGTTAGAACAGTGGTGGTGAACCTGTGGCACATGTACCACAGTGGACTGTTTGTATCATTGAAACTCTAAAAGGTTTGCTATCACTGAGCTAGGCTATAGTAGAAATACCCTGTTCTCTCTGTTGGGGTAGGGGTCTACTCAGAAGCCAGGTTCCAGTACCCTATTGATATGTGACTAGAGTGGGATTTTTGCCTTAGCGGAACTGGCTCAGAAAGCAAGGAAGGAGATTGCTGATTATCTGGCCGCTGGGAAGGATGAGCGAGCACGGATCCGAGTGGAGCACATTATCCGGGAAGACTACCTCGTGGAGGCCATGGAGATCCTAGAGCTATACTGTGACTTGCTGCTGGCTCGGTTTGGCCTCATTCAGTCTATGAAGTAAGATATTTTGAGTCAAAGACCTAAATCACTTCTGAAATTTGAGAATGGTGTAATATTGGTCTCTTTTTCCATGTACGTGTAGGGAGCTAGCCCAAAGGTGCTGTTTGACATCTCCAAGTATCTTTTTCCTAACAGTCATTGAAAGGTGTGTTCTCAGTGTAGGCATCTGTTGAAAAAAAAAATCTGAAATCAAGAGGCCTGACTTTGAGTCTTGGCTTAGCTGTTTCCTGACTATTGGGAATTCTTAGTTTGACTTTCCCCCAAATTAAAATAGGGTAAAGAAATGGCTTAGAAGTCTACAGTTATTTTGAGAATCCAGTGAGAGTTGTAAAATAGCCTGAGGAAAATAAGTATAGAAAAGCAAGGATTGTATTGCTTTATTTTAAAGAATGTTTTATAATTTTTTTTCTTTATTAGAGAGCTAGATTCTGGTCTGGCTGAATCTGTGTCTACACTGATCTGGGCTGCCCCTCGACTCCAGTCAGAAGTGGCAGAGTTGAAAATAGTGAGTACAGTCTCTGCCAGTGATTTCTGTAGTTTTTCATTTGTTAGGAAGTTTTGTTAATATGAGTCACTTCTGCTTATTTGACCAGGTGCTTTGTATCCTTCTGTTGCTGCTTTTTGAAGCAGACTTTGTAAATTTGATTTTCGTTTTCATGCCTTATATTATAAAGCTGAATAGTTTTTATAAAGCAAATTTGAATAATTCTTTTAAGGAGCAAAGTTTTATGTACCTTCCAATTTTATCTTTTAAATCACTTTTGTTACAATGTTTTTTAACCTTATACAGATAGAGAAGTTGTATGTATGTGTTTTTTAATTTTTTTTTTTCAGTACTGAGAGTCAGTACCAGGGCCTTGCACATGGTAGGCTAGGCAAGTACTGTACCACTGAGCAACACCTCTAGCCTCCAGAAAAGTTCTTACACAGCTGTAACTAGTAAAGTTAAAATAACATTCATCTAAAGTAGTACGTGGTTTGCTTCATTAGCCAATAAATGTTTATTGGACAAATACTATGAGCCATGTGAGCACTTTGATAAGCCATGTGAGAACAGTCTGGAGCAAATGATGCCACCAGCCATACACTTAAAGCTTAGAGTCTTAACAGAAGAGACAGATGCTAACCAAAAAATTGCTTATCAAAGTATGGATAAGGTGCTGACTGCAAGGATACAAATTCAATTGAGTTGATTTCTATTTATTTACATTTTTGCCTTTTTGTTTTATTTTCTAGGCTATTGTCTCAGTCCTAACTCATCTAAAATTTCCTTGTCTTTCATGGCTGTAGTGTCTTTTGTTTGATAGTGATCATATTTCTTCTTTAACTTTTCTTTTTTGGGTCATATTCCTTCAAGGCCTTTTTAACATTTCTTTGGTTTAAACTCTATAGAAGCTTTTCCACAGGTTTGGTGATCTTTGCCTCTTGGTGGTTTGTATTTAAGAGTGCAGCAGAAGCCAGGGATTTAGCTCAGTGGTTTGCCACCTGCTGTGCAAGCACAAGGACCCGAGTTTGATCCTCGGTACCAAAAAAAAAGCACATCAGGGCATGGGATTTAGCTCAGTGGCACCGTGCCTCCCTTGCCAAGTGCAAGGTCCTGAGTTTGATCCCCAGTACCACACACACACACACACAAAAACGCAGCACTAAAAAGCTGATTGGAACCTCTTGTGTGCAAGGGTGGGCTGTACTGCCAGCTATACTCGTTGGATAATCTTGCAAAGTTCTTTCCAAGGGTGATGCCAGACTCAGAAATTAGTTTTTGGGGGGTTTTTTTTGGTACCAGGGATTGAACTCAGGATTTTGTGCTTGTGAGGCAGGCATGACACCACTGACTAAATCCCCGGCCCCAGAAGCTAGTTTTCTTTCCTGGGTTTGGTCATTTTCTCCACAGAGGAATCCCTTCTATCTTCTGCCTGGAAACGTGTTAAGTTGGCTGTCAGTATTTTTGAGAAGCCACTGGAGAAGGAAACCAAAGGTCTCACTGATATGTAGAAGACTAACAGTTTTCTCATGCTATCGTACGTAACCTTGCTGTCTTCTCTAGGTGGACTCTAGAACCTCAGAGTAACCTGTATTCTGATGAAATAGAGAGGACAAGATGGATACTAGGCTTTATTAGTGGAAGGAGAGAAGAGATAACTGCTTCTTGTACAGTCTTGTTTATAATCTCTCCCCATACTCATTTGAAAATAATCTCTAACTGGAAAAGGTCTAAATATGCTTCAGAACCAAAAAGCCATTAAGTAAAGAGTGATACATTAATGTAATAAAAAATTTAAACCCTGTGTATAGTGCAAAAAACTATTAAGTTAAAAGACAGATGAAAATGTGTAGTACCTGGTACCTGTGATAGTTCACATATTATACAGTGAGAAACTCGCTTTCCGGGCTCCCAGAGCGTTGGGATCACACTGGGACCATACAGAACCATTTGTCATCTCCTTCCTGAATTGTAGCTTCTTATATTCTTTCTACACCTATTTTGGTTTCTTTAGTCTATTCATGCCATCAGAACTCCCTGAGAGTTTTGTTCAAATCACAGATCTAACCCTATCACTGTCACTTGTTTTAAAGCTCTTGAGTAGCTTTCTTTGGTTCTTGTGATAGAAACAAAACATATGACCTATGTAACCCTGCATTGTCTGGCTCTTATTTACCTCTTTCTTCCTTCATTTCTTACCATACTTCCTCAAGTCCTGCACTAGAGGGTCGCCGAGTTTCAGCCTTGAGTGTCAGCCATGTTTTATCTACAGGAGGCCTTTGCACATATTATCGTCTTTTCCTAGAATGCTCTTCCCTCCGTAGTTAACTTCTAGTCATTCTTAAATCTTGGCAAAGCCACATATCCTTCAGGCGGGCTCACTTAACTTTTCTGATTCAGATGTAATTCTGCTAAAAGCTAATAGTAGCACCTACCACAGTTACAGTTATATTCTGTCTTTGATTACTGTTTGCCAAGAGACTCTAAAGGCCGTTAAGATTAGGAACAGTATTTTGTTCACTGATATATTTATAGTGAATATGCTAATGCTTATAATAGTGTTTGGCATCTAGTTGCTGCTCATTGGATAGATGGATAAATGAATTAAGGTATACTCATTAATGAATAAAGGTTTTATAGAACTCAGTTTTTTGGGAATCATGTAATGAAGCTTGTTTAATAGCAGCATGAGGAAGCTTGAAGCAGTGTATAGGAGTAGTTTCTGTTTTTATTTACTATTCTTTTTCCTCTGTAGGTTGCTGATCAGCTCTGTGCCAAGTATAGCAAAGAATATGGCAAGTTATGTAGGACCAACCAGATTGGAACTGTTAATGACAGGGTAATGAACGTACTTGGTAAATGTGAAACAGTGTATGAGGGTGTTGTCCCGTGTCCCCATCCATCCATATGTGCCGCTGTGCTCCCCCCTACCCCCATTGAGCCCATTTTATTTCGAGACAGAGTCATGATAAATTACCCAGGCTGGCCTTGAACTTGTTTCAGTTTCACAAGTAGCTGGGATTACAGGCATGTGCCACTGTGCCTGTGGTTTACTTCATTGCCTGCAGTGATTCTAGTGGTACCACTGAATGGTTGGGTCAATCAAAGGCTGTGTATTTCATAGTAAGGTTGTGAAGGAAGCCTGTGTAGCTGGCAGTGGAATCATCCTCCCACTGCACAGCATCTCTGATCATAATGCTCTGGTTCCTGACTTCACTTCCCCTGTCCTGAAGGTAGGAAAGTGGGGAAAAGGGTTGAATACAAGTATAGAAGGCAGTAGTGTTAGTCTTTGATCAATATATGGATCATTTATAACCAGAGAATGTGAAAGATATGGGTCCTATATTGTACCTGTGACTCTGGGAAAAAAATTACGTATGTGCTATGATTCTCTTTCTCCTCAATTTTACTTGTAAGATAAGAGGAACTAAGTTTACAAAGAGATGGGTTAGGATTGGGCTGGTTGGTGTAGATACATCTTAACCCTCAGTCTTTTATTTACAGCTAATGCACAAACTGAGTGTGGAAGCCCCACCCAAAATCCTAGTAGAGAGATACCTGATTGAAATTGCCAAGAATTACAATGTACCCTATGAACCTGATTCTGTGGTCATGGTAAGTTTATCCCAGAGCACAAAGGAAAATGAGTCTCGATATGACTTTCTTTGGGAGAAAAAACAAACAAAACAAAGCATAGTCTTTGCACTAACTTAAGTTGGTATGTGTGAGTTTTAAGCCTTTGTTTAGTTAGTGCCTATTTGGGTAACAGTAACTATCTCTAGGTAGTTAAGGATCAGATTAGATGAATGACTGAAAGTACTTTGAGAAGGTTCAAGCTTTGATACAAATGTAAAATGGCATTATTGGTGCTGTCTAGTAAACTTGAAGGAATTGCGAATCTCCCTGTGGGTAGGAAGACAAACAGTTCATTTATTGTGCCCACCCCAGGCCAGAAAGCTGAGAATATACATAGAAACAAATTGCCTGTCCTGAAAGTCTAAGGGTAAATAGGCAAATAATAACAGTCATTCAGCAGTTAAGGTTGGTGGGGTATGGTAGAAGCTTTGACGTGCTGCTTACATTTCCCCCCACCCACCTCACTCCACCTTACCTCCGGACAAACATCAATACAGAAGCATTTATTTTCTCAGCTTTCAAAAATGTTACTGACTGGCATCTCACACATGGCTAAGTATTTCTTCAGAAATTTGCTGCTGAAAAGTATAGCTCTACCCAGCCTTTCCTAGGGGCAGCCTTTGTCTACTGACTGGTCAGGGCCGGGGTTTAGAGACTGTCCCTTTTTTTCCATCTGGGGACACCTTTTGAGGTCCATTCCATTTCCAGAGCTCCCTGGGGAATTAGCTGAGGCCTCCCTCTGTTGTGACTGCATTACAGTCTATGTTCTTTTTTTTTTCTTTTTTTGGTACCGGGGATCGAACTCGGGTCTTTGTGCTTGCACAGCAGACGGTGAAACCACTGAGCTAAATCCCCGGCCCATGACTGCATTACAGTCTAACGTTGTCCCCTTCCATCATCATCAATCTGTCAACCCCCTTTGCTTTCCCGACAAGTGTTGGTCCCAAGAGCACTGTGCAGTAAACTTTGTTATGTACTTCTCACAGTCTGCTTCCTAGGAAACCTGGCCTTAGATATGGGTTAACGATACAGGTTTCTTTCTCTTTCTCAGGCAGAAGCTCCTCCTGGGGTAGAAACAGATCTTATTGATGTTGGATTCACAGATGATGTGAAGAAAGGTGGCCCTGGAAGAGGAGGCGGTGGTGGGTTCACAGCACCTGTTGGTGGACCTGATGGAACAGTGCCAATGCCAATGCCAGTGCCCATGCCACCTCCAAATCCTCCTTTCTCATGTCCATTGCCAAAGGGACCTGTAAGTATATATCAAATGTAGATGTAAACTTTAGGAAATGATGACAAATAGGGCCTATAAATGTACTCAGGAATTAGAGGTTGTCACGAGCAATTTAGCAATGATATTTGATACTAGCTTTGTGGACATGCTGTGGAAGGGTCTTCTGGTTTAGCTGTAGGTAACAGAAAAGTCTAGAGAAAGAGTTCTCGAAAAGCTCTTTTCAGGTAGGCTTACTAAACATCTTTGGGACCTGTGTGGTTGTCCTAGTAGCTTTTTCCAAAAATGAGTAATAGCCATTTATTACCAGGCAGAAAAACCAACTTTGTAGACAAGAAGTCATTGTTAAGCATTGTTAGTAAGAGACTGATGAGAATTTTCTCTTAGACATTAAAGCATTTAATTTAGTGATTAGAAGAACAGCCTTTGGTTGTAGATCTTTAAAAATCTGGAATCCTTGTAATCACCATTTGGCCCTTTTGAGCATTTTTTGGTGGGGAATCTTGAAAGTATTTTTCAGTGTGAATACGTACATTTTATGTTTTCCCTCTTCCTGTACACAAACCTCAGAAATTTCAAATTTGGGCCATTGTCTCTGATAGTGCCTTTCTCCTCTTGCAGTCAGATTTTAATGGATTGCCAGTGGGGACTTACCAGGCCTTTCCAAATATTCATCCACCTCAGATACCAGCTACTCCCCCAGCATATGAATCTGTAAGTGCCTGAGCCTCTTTTATAAGCAACAGAAGAGTGAATCACATGAAGAGAGCAAAATAATGACCACAGGGAAGGCAAAGTTTTGATCAACTCCTAGTATTGGCATTGCCTTTGCTTTGGGATTCTTCTCTTGCTTCAACACTGCCCTGGATGTGTGAAGTGATGGTGGTGGTGGTGGAGGCAGTTGTAGCTGCAGCCGCATTGGTGGGCATGCTTTGTGTGCAGTGAAGCCAGGAATCAGGAAGGAGCTACAGCTCTTACAGTGTTGTAGTGTCCTACTAGGACACTTAACCAATTATATGTATTTGATTAGCTAGGCAAACAAGCACATTGAGCTGAAATGGTCTTAGTGTTAGAATATAATTATCAGTTTTGTAAGTTTTCAACACTCAAGTGAAGGAATTGTGACCAGATTGTACTTAAACAGAGGTGTTAGTAAATTTCAGGATATGGCATTGATTTCACATTTTAGTCTTGTAGTTAAAACTTCCATAAATAGTTGATGTGGTAATGATGTCTTGAACTGCAGGTGGCTGTAACAGCTTTGCTTTAGTATTAGATTTTCTGCCAGCCTTGTTTCCTCCGTATATGCTTTTTGAGACCTGTTTTCATCTGATACTTAACTGAGAAACACTTGGGTATGGTATTTGCTGTGTAAATCATTCATTTATAAAGCTCTCCCTATTCCTGAGCTTGCTTATTTTCTTTCCATTGGCCTTTATCTCTAGCTGATGTGTTTTACCTTGGGCCTGAGGTTTTTTTCCTCCCACATGTGTCAAAACATGGCTTACAGCTGTTTGTAGGAATGAGGTAGAAGATCTTCGTTAATATTTGAGGAGTTGGTTCTTGTAGACAGACATATTCAGTGGTTCATTTCTTTCCCTTTGCCCCAAAGGTGGGGAAAGGGGTCATGCTGTGTTAAAAATTTTTCTGTTTGGCAATTCAGAGTACCACATGATGTCTACCTGTTTAGAAGGTAGGACGATGTCTGGAAGTAGAGCAGCATTTTCTTTGGAGCAGATTCTGTTGCTTTTGGTGAGCAGCTTAGCTCTTGGGAAACACAGGGCTGACACCAATATTGGTACCTTCTCTAGTGATGCCATTGCTTTTTTCTTGTAACAATCTTTGTGTTGCAGGTTGATGACATTAATGCTGATAAGAATGTCTCTTCTACACAGATTGTTGGTGAGTGAGATGGTCCAGTGTTGAACCCTCTGCTGTTTCCTCATTGTTCATTCCATGGCATGCTACCTATGTGTACCCTCCCCTTTCCCTAAATGTAGTATGGGTGCTATAGAGCTCAAGCTGTTCCTTCAGAACATAAAAGTATCTTGCCCAAGTTTCCTGTTTCTGTCAAGCGGTATCACTGTTACTTTCCACTTCATTCTGACTTTGTCTCCTGGTTTTTCAGTCACCTCTGGTTCTTATGTTATTGCTACTTTAACCTCCAACGTACCTGGAAATTAAATATTTTTAAGTGGTGTATTAAGCCATGCTTGGTGACACATGCCTATAATCTCAGCATTTGGGAAACTGAGGTAGGAGGATTGTGATTCTGAGGCCAGCCTGGGATACATAGAGAGCCCAAGGCTGCCTTGGACTATGTAGTGAGATCCTGTCTCCAGTGGAATATGAAGAGTCACATTAGAGAGGACAAAATAGGCACAAATCATGAAACTACCAGCATTCCAAAAACCCAGGGGGGATACGTTTAAGCTTAGAGACAGTTTTTTTGTTTTTTGGGACCGGGATCGAACTCAGGCCCTTTTACTTGTGAGGCAGGCAGCGGAACCACTGCGCTAAATCCCTGGCCCAGAGACAGTTAATTTTGTTGAGGTATAATTTTACATTTAAAAAAGAAACTTTACACAGTCCTGAAACTCTAAAGATAGGGAAAGTTCTTGTGTTTTTTTCCAGTCAGCTCTGCCCCTCCTTCTGTCTGACTTACTGTAATTTAGTTTTAACTATTCTAGAACTTTATAAAACATACTGTAGGCAGATCAGGGGATGGTTTTTAATATAAAATATAAAATAGAAGACTTATATATATAAAAAAAAAAACCCAAACCTTAAAAAGTGGTTCTTAGGAAAGCAATTATTTGTTCTGTAAATGCTAGTACCTCACTTTGGACCTGGTTCTTAGGGCACAGTCTATTTAGATGAATGCTCTGTGGACCTGGCCCCATATGCCACTCTTTGACTTCCCTTAAACTTATACTCTCATACAGTGCGAAACAACAGCTAGGATTCCACTGTAATTAGAAAATGTAGGAGTTTTCATCTAAATTTTGATCGTTTTGCCCCCACCAAAGGGTATTGAGGCATCTGACCCATTTTTTCAATGTTTTTAACATTGTGCTTGCCTGATTAAATTAGGTCCTGGACCCAAGCCCACAATCTCTGCAAAGGCCCCTCCCAGACCTGTGGACAACTACAACTTTGTACTGCCAGAGTTGCCATCTGTGCCAGACACGCTACCGACTGCATCTGCTGGTGGCAGCACCTCAGCATCTGAGGACATTGACTTTGATGATCTTTCCCGGAGATTTGAAGAGCTGAAAAAGAAAACATAGGTCTCTTAAACTAGGTAACCTCCAACTTCTGGGAGTTGAAACTGAGCAGTTTCTCCTTGTACACAAAGAATCTCCATGAAGTTCCGTTTTTTCTGTTAACCATCACTGAACACACTCTTTTGGGGGGGTTTTCCTATTCTACCAAATCCTGTTGCTTCCCAGTTCTCTACTGATCCTAAGAGACTAACAACTGGACACTCTGAGGCCAGAGCAGCAGGCTCCTGGCACCTGTGCCTGTCTGTTTCCGGTTAGAGGGATTCCAGGTTCTGTTGTGACCTAGCCCTCTCCAGGACCCTCCCCAGGAGAATGAGAAGACGAAGCATTGTGGCGAGAGCTGCCAGAGATGGCCGAAGAGAGAAGAGCACCTCATTCACTATCTTAGGCTGTGTTGAAGTTCCAGACTTGGAAACAAATCCCTCTGTATAGGGGGATTGTGGTGAGACACAAGGCCATGGTGTGTTTTCTAACTCTTAACACGAGTAAGAGAGAAAATGGTTCAGGAAGTCATAGTAACAGTTCCTAGAGGCTGGGCCCTCTCCTTGACATATACACTACTCACTGCAGGGCACTGTTCCACCGGGATCCAGTTGCAAAGTTTATTTGGAAAAAGTTGAAGGCCTCTCTTCGTTCTACTGGATTCTCAGGGAGCCCTCTGTGGCCTTTTGCTTTATTTTGAATGCTCTGTTTCTCTTACCAGAAGGCAGCACCATAGAAATTTATTTTTCCCCATAGCATGTTACTAGCAAATGAAGGGGACAGGTAACATATTGGGTAGAAGTTGCTATTCAAACCTACAGTGAGGTTCCAGCTGCCTTAATAGAAATACTCGAGTCTCTTGGGTAGTGAGCTGGAAAACCTACAGAAGAGGGGTACCTGTTTTCATTTGAAAACTTTAAAAATAGATCTCAAATTTTTAGTGCCCATGTGGCTGTTAATTCACTGCTTTCCTGGGTGGATGGGACTCTTCCTATTGTAACTCATGTGCTCCTTTGTCCCCAAGCTAAGGCCATCATTCCCCACAAAGTTGGCTTTGGGTTTGGAAGACAAAATTTTTACTTCTGTGTAGTGTATCTGTCACATACCCGTTTCAAGCAACTTTTAATGGTTTTGGTTGGTTTGTATCTTGTAGCTTAGGAGCTGCTAATAAAGTTCCGCTGTTGGTCAAATGATAAAGTATGAATATAGATTTTAGTGGAGAATATTTTAAGCAAGCAACTCACATTGGTGCACAAGCCAGAGCCAGCCTCCAGTTTCAGCTCCCCTAGTAATGCAGACACATACAGCCCTTCAGGTTTCTCTCTGAATTTAAGCCCAGGTAGCATCTGTGAGTTTGTTGGTTGCTTGTCTGTGACGGGACTCCCTATCACCCAAGCCTTCTGATTGTATCTTTATTTTTAGTAAATTATAATGAACTCACTTGTGACTCATTAATTTCCCATAGCCTTCCTGGGGCATGGATGATGAGTATCCTGTCGCTTGCTACTTGGCAGCAGAGCTGGTTTATCACTGTTGTTATTTTTACAGTATTATTCCTTTCCTGACTGTGCCAAGATCTACAAGCAAGAACTTAGAGCTAAGGGAATATTGATTCCTTGGTAACTTACAGAATTAAGACAGTTTTAGGGCTGGGGATTTAGCTCAGTGTTTCCAGCGCCTGCCTTGCAAGCGCAAGGTCCCGAGTTCGATCCCTGGTACCAAAAAATAACCCCCCCCCCCCAAAAAAAGACAAAGTTTTAAATGCATCTGTAAGTAATTTCATTAACTATGCCATGTAAAGATAAGTGATACTATAGTAGGAAGAAGTAAACCAAGATAGAAGGTGAACTATCTCAATCCTGTTACCTCTTAAGACTTTAGTGTCATTGGTTATTGCTGTCCTGGCTGATTCTCAGATGAGGGGTTCTAGGGCTGCCTGATTCCTAACAAATTTGAGTGCTTTTGTAGCAACATATTTGTCAGTACACCTTCTTTCTGAGAATTTTGAAGACAAAAGGAGAAAAGAGAAAATTGAGATTGTTGCTAATTTTAGAGTAAAAAATGTACTAAAAAAATAGGACATAGTTAAGTGAATAGTGCATAGTAAAGACACTACTTCTTTAATGATGTACTTTTATGTGGCATATTACTACTTAATGGTCAAGAGCCAGCTATATATTAGACAGTGGCTACTGATCATAATGTCCTGGCAAGTTGGGTTTCCTAAGAAAATGGTTGGCAGGGTTGGCAGAACTCTTGCGACTAAACATAAGGCACAGAATCAGAACTGGTATAGTCTGTAATCTTTTTTTTTTTGTACCGGGGATCGAACTCGGGACCTTATGCTTGCGAGGCAGGCAGCAGAACCACTGAGCTAAAAGCCCTGGCCCTTAAGTCTGTAATCTTAAAAGCAGTTACAGTTAAGCTTTTCCAGTGGTACAAAATCATGATAGTTTATTTTGTAGTTACTGAGCAAGAGTTGCTCACCTTAAGGGAGGAACTTTCTTTTCCAAAGGCCATGAGAATGGCCGAAACAAAAAGATTAATGATCACAAGAACCATAAGTGATGTGACACTGGTGAGGATCAGGAAGGAGCTGAGTGACTGACAGTTGAGTTTCTACCTCACAGACAAGCTATGTGCTACATATGGTACATGTTCTTGAGCCAACATTTGTTAGAAAGTAGGAAGAGGTGCCAAAAGATACTAAATTTTAAGTGGACATACAAGAAAGAATGACCGAATCTAAAGATACTAAAGTATTTTGACCTCACAGCTTTTACAGGAAGAAAACAATTGAATTGTAGTGGAATTGTAAGTTACTCAAATTCCATCTGAGTTTTGGCAGTTCTGGAAAATATGTCTGAACATGGAAGCCTCGGGTCTTGCAAACACACCTGGAAATAATCCACACCAGAAGTGATCATGAAAACCACCTCTGCCACCATGAGAAGTTTCTCTGAACACAGGAGGGTTCCAATTAAAACAAAACCACACAGAAAGCCAGCCTTTTAGTATGATTTTTTCCAGTAGTCCTTTTTAAAGACTGAATTCCGTCCTCCTTTGCTTTTCTGCATGAAAGATTCTTTACAAATTTAGGTCTTACCTAGAATGGTTTCTATATGATCCTTATTTTCCCTTGCTATTTGCCCATTCATTTAAAACTGGGGCACTGTTTAAAATCCTAAGAACTCATTGGACGATTACCTGCAACACCACTGTGAAAAAAAATCTGTGATAAAATTTATTTCCAAGCACCAGTGTATCATCCACTTAAAGTGTGTTTCATTGTAACCAAATTCCTGTTGACCAATTGATTTGGGGAGTCTGTGGTGCAAGATTTTTTCTCCTTAAGTTTTTTCTATTCATGTTGCACAATCACATTGAAAGCAACGGTATTGTATATATTTATGGGGTACCATGTGATGTTTTTATTGATTAATGCTTTAATCAGGGCAAACCTCTCAACCATTTCTTTTTGATGAACCTACTTTGCCCTTTGTGTTGAACAGAAAGATGGGTTTGTATTGGTAGTTCATGGGGAAAATAGGCTTACTGAAATGAATATTAACTAAACAGAAATAATGCAGTTCAAATGCAGTGAATGGCAGCAAGTCCCCTGTCATCTCCAGACCAAAATCCCATACCCTCATCACAGCCCAGTGCCAATGGCATCCAGACAGAAGGGAGAGACTATGATAGGCTTAATAAACATTTTTTTTTTGGAAGCAACATTTTAGATGAAATGAGAAAAGAATCCACAAAACTAAAGAAAGCTCATTGATGCAATTAGGCAAGATCTGAGCAACTACTGCATAGAAAAGCAAAAGGAGAGAGGGACAACTTTAATCTGGAGCGGGGGGAAAAAAATCCTACAAACAGTAACCTTCAATAACAACCCCATATGATTTTGTGACCGAAAAAAGAAAATGGAGATAAGCAGACAGAAGGAGGGAACCAGCCATCCTCTGAAAGCCTCAGACATTGTGATTCTGTGATCACTGTCCTTCCTCTCTGCTGGCTGCTTGTCTCCCCCACAGGATGGAAGAGCAGTAGATGAATTCCTCCAAACAAAATACACAGAAAATGTGAAGATCTGACAGACAAGAACATTGTGCATTGGAATATTTTCACATTGAGATAAAGCCTCACATTTTACACAGCCCATTGCGGAAATAAAGAAAAAGGTTTATGGGGAAAAGAATGCAGTTCTTTCTGGGAATGTACCTCCCTAAAGTTACTAACCTTATACAGTTTCAAAGAGCCATAGAAAAAGCAGCAACTTGTCATTCTGCCTAGGGATAAACACAGGTTTGGGCCCATTTTCCTTTGGCAGTATGACTGAGGATACAGGAAATAAGGAAGACAGACAGTGCTGAAAGTAACAGCCATTCAAAAGCTATATCCATAGGTATTCCCTGTAAAACAGAATAGCAGAGTCTTAAGTTCTCCCTTCTCTGATTGGTTTTTATGGGCAGTTCCCCTCAAGTTAAGAGTTGTTAGGCTAAATAGAATTCTGCAGAGAAACCATGATTTCCTTACCTCTTTGTGGTGAGAAATTCTCATCAGAGCAGCTACTGAACCGAAGAAAGCCCAGCAGTCAGAGGTACACCATCTAAGCCTCGGGTTAAGCTGAACAAAAGGAGAAAGCAGTCAGTGAGAGCCAACTGCAGTTCTGTCCTGAGGACATGGAACCAATGGAATGTAAACTTGTGGTGGACAAATTACTATACTTGGAAAATGCACAAAATTGCTTTGTAATTGCATAGTATTTTCATATAAATTAGACTTTCACATTATGTATTACCTTATTTTATCCCCATTTTAGCAATAAGAAAAATATGTGGGTTTCAACCATGCTATAGAACATAACCCCATTTTTTTCCCCTAGTTTTTTGAGACAGGGTCTCGTAACGCTCAGGCTAGCCTTGAATTCATGATCCTCCTGCCACAGCCTTTTGAGAGCTGGGATTACAGGCATGTGCTGCCATGGCCAGTTTAACTTGTTCATGACAGGGTTGTAATTCTTGTGTGTTTGTGCCAGGTGGTTCTGCATGATTATTCCACTGGGTGGAATGGGACAGTCCCATCAGGTGGCACAAGCTGCTGTGTGGGAGAATCATGCATGTACCACTGGTGGTTGAAGCTGGTGGAATGTGTTAGATCCTGCTTTTATTCTATGACCTTTTTTCCCACAACTCACTTCCAACTTGAACTGATGGTTTTCCATATAGTGCCCTTTCCCCAGGGAAGAAATGTTACTGAGATCACAGCACTTAGGGAAAGAGTGATTGTGGAGCTTACAGTCATGGCATAGCTGGTCCGCAGGAATACGATGATGGACAGGCATTGCTTGGGGATTCACTGATGACTCACCCTGGGGTTGTGGTGCAGCAGGTCCCATAACTGAACAGTTGCCAGCAGAATAAGGAAGACCACAAGGTGAGTGAGAGGAGTTCACTATTAAAGCCTCATAGAAACTGATAAACCTATTCTCAAGAAAAGCTGACAGTCACTCAGCATGAATGGTAGAGGTGTTCCTGTGATGGCAGTTTCTACATGCTCCTGGTGCTGAAGTGTAACAGCTTTAGGCCCTGTTGGGTCAAACGCTGATGTAAGAACTCTGCTTTCTAGTGTGGCCTGTTCTTGTGGATATAACATTAGCAAAAGGCCACATATTTGATTGGGAGCTGTGCTGAAGAAACTTCAAATGCGAACTCTTGATTTCTGATTGACCCTAGAGATCTAGACCAGCATCCTCCACTGTAGTGGTCTAAGTCGAATCTCTCAAAACGAGCCCAGTGAGGTGTGCCATTACCATGCTGGTCTCAACAGTCCCATGTTGTTACTTGGCAGTAAATAATTGATTTTTTTAATAGGCTTAATGCTGAGAACAGAAAGATGGGTAGCAAATTGGAAGTTAGGCCTGTTACTCACCAATTATGTTTTGCTGTATGAGAAAACATAATTTTACATAGAAAGACCCCCCACAGACCTGAGCAAGTTAACAGACCTCTTCTAGGACCTAGGCAATGCCACACAACAGGCGGGCCCCACCTCCTGTCTTCACTAAAGCTGCATGAGCCCCCATCTCTGTATTAACAGTTCTCTACAAGGTCTGCTTGGGACAGGGCCTCAGGAAAAGTCTTACACAGATGAGCAGCCCAGGCTGTTGGTCACTGGTAGTATGTGTTCTCCCATGGGAAAGACCAGAGAAAGCACCCAAAGGGGCATTATTCATCTCTTGGTATAGTTAATGGATGGACATCCCAAGCCAGAAAGCAACCCCCTTTTCATGTAAAGGATGGAGCCTTGTGGTTTCACTTAAAATATTTATGTCTTAGGCTTTATTGCCAGGGTTCAAAACTGACCAGTTCCTTACCCTGTGAAATTTATGTGCATTAGCCTTGACAACATACCTAAGCACAGTGAATACTGAAGAGCTTTTCTTTTTTCTTTTTATTTTTTTTCTTTTTTGGTACTGGGAATTGAACCCGGGTCCTTGCGCTTTTGAGGCAGGCGGCAGAACCACTGAGCTAAATCCCTGGCCCAACTGAAGAGTTTTTGAACACCACTAACAGTGCAAATGTTTCTAGGTAATTGCTGAGGACATTAGCCTTTTTTTTTTTTTTTTTTTTTGATAGGATCTCACTATATAGTACAGGCTGGCCTTGAACTCACTATGTAGCCCAAGCTGGCCTGGAACACACATCAATCCTCCAGCCTCAGCCTCCCCTCCAAGAGCTTGGATTACATGTGTGCGCCATATTTTGTTTTAAATTCATACACAAATACAGATCTGATAGAGCAGTGGAGAAGGAAGAACTGTTCAAAACAATACTTGCGAATTATCAGGAAACTTTGGGCATGAGGTAGGAATATCTTAACACTCCTCACTCAGGCTTGATCTTGTCTTGGTCATTGGCAGCATTGTGCCATGTTTTTCTTATACACTTCATGTCAAGCCCCAAGATGACAGTGCTGATGATTATGCTTGTGCCCAGAATGTTTCTCTTAAGAACTTCCAAAAAAAGAAACTTTCACCCCTGCTGTTGGAGATGACCAGCCTAAACAGAGACACCACAGTTAACACTGCGAACCCGAGAGATTGGCTAGGACTCCCCATCAGAAAGTGTTAAGAATACTGCTGACTTCTACAGGCAAGGCCACACATCTGGGCACTTCTCAAATCTGTCTTGGACCTTGTGGGTCACGGCCCATACAGGGTATGCTGACTGCAGTCATTCCTATTTTTGAGTACTTTTTTCTGCAGCATACTTTTTGATACTTAATATAGGAATGATAAAACTACATAAAATATTCCTACAGACTTAATTCTGTACCTAAAGTTGAAACAGCTACTTTACGTGGAGGAAAAGCAGTCAGCCTGTAAGTGGATTTAGGCTGCTGTAAAGGGGCAGCATTCTCCTTATAGGTCTTTGTGGAGCTCCCCTGGTAAAGTCTGGCAACTGTTTCTCACATTTGACATTAATTCACATGTACAAAAGTATAACAACAGATTAGGACATAAGAGGATCCGGGGATTTAGCTCAGTGGTTCCGCCGCCTGCCTCGCAAGTGCAAGGACCTGAGTTCGATCCCCAGTACCAAAAACGGGACATAGGAGATGACTTATGTGAAGATAGTCTAGGCTTTGGCCCTTCTCTGATGTCTGAAGTCAGGTTTAACTGTCCAGTCTTACAGAAGTGAGGAAAGCATCTGAGGACAAAAACACCTGGAATTAAGAGTCTTTAAAACTGCTATTTTCTACATAACCCCAGCTATTCCTGTTTGATCACTTTGAAGTATTTCAGAGTCCTTAACACCACTTGGTATTTCCTTTAGTGCTGTCAGGCAAATTTAATGAACTATGTATGTAAAGCTACTGGAGAAATGACAGTTTCACTAGTCAGTTGAGGGAAATATAGAGTTGATCTCACCTAGAGGGACGTGTCAATAGCTTTATCACTTGTTACAGGTTCTGCCCTGGCAAAGTTAGAATGGCCATAGAGATAAAAGTCAAAGCACTAATATCCCATGAGTACCCTGATGGTCACATGAAAAAGAAATTGGGCCTTCTGAGATACCCAGATCCAGGAGGACGAAGAAGCATTCATGCCCACATTGTTGGACTCCAGGGTCGGGGTTATAACAGAACATATTCACATTAGTGTTGAAGCAGTGTCTGCTCAAGATGCTGTAGAATTCTGGGGAAACAGAAGAGAGCAGTATAGTTTTCCTATAAAATGCAAGACCATAAAACAACAATAACATTCACTTTAAACATTCAGGGAAGGGGCCAGGGATTTAGCTCAGTGGTTCCACCACCTGCCCTGCAAACTCAAGGACCCAAGTTCAATCCCCGGTACCAAAAACAAAAACCAAAAAAACATTCAGGGAAACATCTAGTATTTGATGTCTAAGGTAACATTAATTTTATACTGTCATATCCTACTACTGGAAGCATTAAATGTTACTATTGATTTTGGGGACAAGATCTTGCTATGTAGTTCAGTCCGGCCTTGTACTATGTAACCTAGACTGGCCTTAAAACTTGTAGCAACCCTCCTGCCTCAGTCTCCTGAGTGCTGAGATTACAGGCATTCACCATCACACTTTGTGTTTTCTTTTGGTACCGGGGACCTTTTGCTTGCAGGGGGCAGAACCACTGAGCTCAGTCCCCAGCTCCACACTTTGTTTAAATACTACTTTTTTTTTTTTTGGTATTGGGGATCAAACTCCAGTCCTTGCGCTTGTGAGGCAGGGGGCGGAACCACTAAATACTACTTTTTAGCAGGAGCTCTTCAGTTTTGTAAGGTTAAAGGAGTGTAAATGTCTTGGTTGGCATTACTGTTTGAGTAAATCCTTGCTGTAAATTTGAAGAATAAATGATAATCCTCCAGATTCATACACTAAACCACTCCATAAGTTTCTGGCAATTTATTTTTGGCATCTTTTTTGGGTGATGTATACATCATGGATCATAAAGGGCAATGGTTCCTTTTATATTTGAAGATGAGTTCATCTAAGCCAGAGGTCAACTGCAGCTGGGATTAAAACCAGCGTGTTTTTCCAGTTAGAGAAGGAATGAGTTTTAACAAACTGCCAAATCAAAACCCCTGTAGTTTGAAGTTTAACAAGGAATCTTTAAAAGGTCTATTTTCTTAGAAATCTAAAAAGTGCCTATAGTATAGCAGCATTACAGTAGCTATGAAAACTTCTGAAAAGGGGCCTGGTTCCCAGTTGTCCTGTGAATTCCCAGAAACAAACACCCTGGTCCCCTTGTTCAGGGCTCAGGCTTGCTCAACTGGAGTTTCTTCCATGTTTCACAACACTTCCTCCTGAGTGACAAATTCCCCTGGGATGGAGAGCTGCCAGTGATGCCTGGTTCCAGTAATGCTAAGTGCTGTCTGATTCTGTGATGTTTGGTCAGGATGGCCCTGGCCCACCCCATAGTTCTCTGTGTCCTGGAGTTGCTGAGTTGGAGAGGTACTTTGTTCTTGAAGAGGTACTCTTATCAGGAAAATATATTAGGAATGAGAGTCTAACAAAGCAGAACACTGCCCAAAAGAAAGGAGTTCCCGTCAATAATAAATCCTAATGAGAAAGTAAAAGAAAGTAAAATTGCCTCATTCTGTAACGACAAAAATACAAAGACATAACAATAAGTTGAAGACTTTCACCGTTGTTTTTGAAAACATTTTTAGAGATACTAGCTAATGCAGTTAGATAAGGAAAACAAATGAGGTTTAAAACGTGAAATTATTGTAAATGATACGTATTTCCAGATAAATTGAGGCTCAATGGAAGAACAAAAATGACTCGGCATGAAGCTGGATTCTAAATAAGGAAATCTACAGCCTTCATATAACCATTCACTATTTCCTTAGAGTGTATAAAGAAATATCTAATAGCAACACAAAAGGTAAAATAAACTAATAAGAGATGGAAAAAGATGAGGGAAAAATTGAATATTACAGAAAAAAATGAAAACAAGTAGAAAAACATCTTGTTTTCAGATGGGAAGAGATCATAATATCATCTCTAAATTAATCTTTACTATAAGTTCTTTATAAGTACTTAAGTCTGTATTACAACTATATAAGCTCAATAATTATAAAAAGCTCCTACAAATCAAAACTACACAGATTAAACACTATGTATGGAGTGTTCACATGTACCAGCTCCCATTCTAGGTGCCAGGAACACAGGGTGGGTATAAGGGAACCCCTCCCCACAGGGAGCACACATCTGAGAAGGACAGGCAATAACAATACTCAGGTAAAGATAAGTGATATTAAGAAAAACTGAACAAGATAAGAGGATAGAGTGTATTTTGAGGGAGGAGCAATGCTGCTAATTTATGTAGAATAATTATAGAAAGTTTCTCTGGGAAGCTAGGTGTGGTGACACGCACCTGTAATCCCAGCACTCAGTTGGCTGAGACAGGAGGATTGCTGCAGGTTTGAGGGCAGGCTGGATTACAAAGTGAGCCCAAGGCCAGTCTAAACTACATAGCGAGACCCTGCCTCAAAACAACAATAAGTTTTTCTGGGAGATGGCATATGAAGGAGCCTAATAAAAGTTTGGAGCCCAGAATGCATTCTTCATTCCTACAGTTTGCCGTTCTCAGAGTGTCTTATCAATGGAACCATACAGCATACTTCCTGAGTCTGGCGTCTTGTGCTTACAGTAATAAGCCTGAGGTGCATCTATGTAGTTACCTGTATCAGCATAAGCTGTGTGTCTGATACACTTGAACTCCTTAAGACTGTGATTATTTTTGTCTTATCTCCTGCAGCTGTTCTCTTTCATTAAGATCTACCTATTCCTTGGACTTCCTGCCTTTTCTGAGATCAATGGTTTTCAAATGGGCTGCACACTGGGGTCACCTGGGAAGCTTTCAAACGTGCTGGGCCTCACATGTACCCCAGGCTCAGAGAATATCACTTCATTTGTCTACAGTGAGTCCTTGTAAGCAAGCATTTCAAAAGCTCCCCAGGAGACTACAAGGTGCAACCAGACCCAGGGCTGGTTTCTTCTTGTGGGAGCTCAGTCTTCTCTAAGCAGGGGCACCTGTCACCAAAATGCTGGAAACTCTACATGACAAACAACTTGATTTTCTCAACAAATATACTGTGAGAAAAACAGCAAAAAGGAAGAGTTGGGAAGGAAGAGGAGAGCTATAGCTTAAATACTAAAAATATACTTGAGACATACAAACTAAACCATGGCCCTTATTTGGATAGTGATTTGTGAAAACCAACTATGAAATAAATATATATGAGACAACTTGGAAAATTTGAGCACTGGCTTTTAAAAATTATATAACAAAACTTACAGTCCTAACTTTTTGAGAAAAATTTCATTATGTAGCCCAGGCTGGCCTTGAACTCACAGGATCCTTCTGCCTCAGCCTCCTAAGTGGTGGGATTATAGGATGCACCACCACACCTGGATAGTCAGAAATATCTGATATAATGATATGAAGTCTGCATTTTCTTTTCCAAGAATATGAACAAGAATGGTTATCAGGAGTCAATTCCCAGCACCACCGGAGAGAAGGGTGGGGAGGGGGAAGAGGAGGAGATATGGTCGTACCCAAGAGTTTATTATATGATTCTCTACACTTTTTTTTTTTTAATTATTTCTGAGACAGGGTCTCACTTTGTAGTCCAGTCTGGCCTTGAACTCACTGTGTGGCCCAGGCTGGCCTTGAACTCGCAGTGATCATCCTGCCTCAGCCTCCCAAGTGCTGAGATTGCAGGTGTGTACCACCACACCTGGCATGATTCTCTACACTTTTGTGTGGTTTGACTTTTTTTTTTTTGGTACTGGGGATCGAACTTGGGTCCTTCTGCTTGCGCAGCAGATGGGGAAACCATTGAGCTAAATCCCCAGCCCTTAAGTTCCTTTTTTTCAAAGTAGGTTGTTGTTGATTTTTTTTTTTTTAACCATCCTTCTCCAATCAATGCTTTTCAACCGTACCTCTGTTATATCAGTTCTTGGGTTTTCCCTGCAATTACTTCACACATATCCCTAACCAGTGTCACTCTTGTCTATTTGTCAAATGTCAAAACCATCAGGCGCCATAGATTGATGCTTATGGACCTTAGTTTCTAAGCTTTTTGCAACTATCATGGTTCTGCCCATTCTTCACTTACTTTTACTGGCTGGCTGATGAAAATGTTTTGAAGCACTGATAATATCATTGAAATAACTCAACTGGCGGCTTGGTCTTTGCTCAATTCCAAGGTATAAAGTGCTGTAAAGAGAAAAAAAAAAAAAGCCAGGGTAGTGATGCCTAGAAAGACCTGGCAAATATAAGTCATCAACCTGGGCGGGCAGAGATGGGTTCTCCCTCTTCCTGGCTCAGGATGGGGAAAACTGGTTACTTCCTGGAGAACAAGAGGTGAAAGAATCATCTTGTACCCCACACCTGAGAGAGGTTTAGGAAGATTACAAGTAATAACGCCCAGTGCAGGGCCTTACTTGGGTGGCCCTTGCTCCAGGGGAAGAATCTGCATCTCCAAAAGTGCCAGGTGTTTGTGAAGTCAGCTGGCTGCTTCTAGGAAGTCACAGGGTGACCCCTGGTTGAAACCCAGTATGCTTAAGGGAGAATTCGGCCTCCACAAAACTCTGAGAAGATAACAGAAGAAATGATGGTGATTTGCTAAACCCACTGAAAGTATATTTCAGGTTGTTATTTTTCACAAATCTTGAGACTCTTGAAATCTGGGCTTTTTCACCAGAACTGCAGTACCTGCAACCTATTTTATTAAGTGCCCATATTTGAGAATAAATAAATCACATGACTTCACCATCCCACAGAAGAAAAAAATGACAAGTTTCAAAAGCTTCAACAAAGCAGTTGGAGTGTGGAAGTCTGCTACTGAGAGTATTTTTGTATTTTGCCTCAATCTCCTACTCTAAATCACCAGGTTATCTAGACACTATCAGAGGGATCAAAGCTCTCTGTTTTCTGTATTGGAAGCTTAAGGAAATTAAACTAAACAGAAGGTTGCATCATGCCTGTTGGTTATGCTGAAAAGTAAAAATTAGTGAGGACATAGAGACATTCAAGGGAATGGAGGCAGAGGAAAAATTCATTACTGAAATCTACTGGACTTTACCATTTGCACTTTAGGGTTCCACCTACTGGCAACAGCCTTGATTTTCCAAGAATAAATGAAGTTGGATAAAAGTTTCACCAGCTTGTTAATGTCATAAGAACTCCATGAAGAGTGTTCACATTCTGAGGGTATTTTTCCTGAGTAGGAATCCCACAGTTTCCTTTAACTCCTGGATATGGAACCAAGATTAGAAGGGTCAATTTCACATTAACTCAGGTCTAGGACCAAGTACAAAGGCAAAGGCTGTTTCTTTTAGTCAGGAGGCATGTGTTTAGGGTAAAGAATCTCAGTTTCATTTTTCTCTCCAATTTTTCAGAAAGCAGTCACTTCACAGTGGCTTCAAAACTTTTTTTATGAGAGACTGTAGAAGAATGGACAGTGTGCTCAGACAGCAAAAATTGAAACAGTTCAGAGTAGCATGAACTGCTCTCACAGTCTCAGTATACTTTACAACACATGAAAGAAAACTAGAGATACAAGTGATCAGGACTTGGAGAGGAATTAGGGAAAAGAGGAAGAGGGCAACAGGACACTGAAAGCCTCCCAAGAGGTCCTTTCCATGGGTCTTTTCTTTTTTTGGGGGGGTACCAGGGATTAAACTCAGGTCCTTCAGATTGTGAGGCAGGTGTCGGATTCCATGGGTCTTTTCTACTCCACAGAGAGTTTTACTTTACACATAAAACTTGGAAGCAAGCTTACTTCAACTATCTTTGGGAGAGAGCAGTTCACAGGCAGCATGGGAGGGGCAGGAGGACAGGATGGGAGGAAACAGGCGGAGTCTCTTGTGGCTCAATCAATGGGAAGAGCTGCCCAATGACAAGACTGATGGGGAAAAGGATGACAGCAGTTTGGGTGCCGAGGAACAGTTCGGCCCAGGTCACAGCAGATGGACCCACTGAAAGCAAAGTGTCACATCTACTGTCACCTAAACCATTAAAATCCTCACAGAGCCATTCCACTCGCAGTTTATAATGATTCATTTAGGGATTCATGTAGGGATAGAAAATTATGGCAGTAAAGATCCTGATGTGTTCCTAAGACTGCTTCGTTTATTAATGAGAGAAAAGAGAGAATTTGTTAGAATATACTAATGTTAGGGCAGTGGAGGAAAAATGAAGGCAGATCATGATTCCATTTATAACCCTGAAAGTACAGAGAGGAGATGTGGCAGAAGTATTGCATACTACAGACAACACTCATCAGGGCTGACCCACACTTTGCCCATCTCTCTTAGCAGTACTGCCATTCACCTTCCAGAGCATCACATTGACGACCATGACACAGAGGAGCAGTGTCAAATAGCAAGTGAGCCTCTGGACTCTTGTTCTGGGGAATTTGAGTTGCAACTGAGAGCCACAGATAGTTCTGGGTGAACTTTTCTATAATCATGCAGAATAGGTAGCTGAAAAGAGAAATTAAAAGAAGATGAGATGTCATTCTGAGAGTGTCCTAAACTGGAAATGGTTTGTCCAGCAACAAGCTGAATAGCAACTCCTCAGCTCAGGTGAACACCTCAATAAATAGCAGAGGAAGCTTCAGAGGTGACATTTGGGAATTTTACAGAATTGAAACGTGATTTTGCATATTAAAAGTTACACCAAATAGGATAAAAAAGTAAATCCACAGTAAAAAGAGATGAACCTCACATGCAAAACTGTTCCTAGCTGACCTTATTGGATGCTCACCCAGTGAAAAATACTTTTTCTCTGGAAACATTGTAAAAAATATTCGTAGACAGTTTTTTAACTTCATAGCTGCTTGATGTGTTAGTAACACAATAGGCTAACCAAATAGCTTAAAGATAAAAGCTAGGATATTAGAAGTTCACCAGACCTTTGAAAAGCTCTGATATATTTCTGGAAATCTAGAAAGTCATATGCATGTGTAGGGCTGTGTACATGCTTAAAAACCCAAGAAAGTCCTCAATTCTCATTTCTAGATGGGCTTAAAACTCTCAGCAAGCAAGAAGTGAAGACTAAGGCAGAGTTGTCAGGCACACCTCAATGTACCCACAAAGCTCCTCAGACAAGACAGGAGACTTCTTGGTTCTGGGGATTTTAAAGAAATCTCTATTAAGCTGGGTATGGTGGTGCATGTCTGTAATCCAAGTACTCTAGAAGGCTGAGGCAAGAGAATTGCAAATTTAATCTAACTTCATAAAACAAACACCAACTGGACATAAAAGATCATATGAACATCAATACAATTATAGTGAAGGACTTCAATACCCCAGTATTGGAAACAGGTAAACTTAAAAAATCAACAAAGAAAGAGTTGAACCACAGCTTTGAACAAATGGACTTAATAGATGTATACCGAATATTCTACCCAATAACAGAATATACATTCTTCTTAGCAGCACAAGGAACTTTCTCCAAAATAGCCAGATGTGGGGTGCATGCCTGTAGTCTCAGCACTTAGGAGGTTGAGGCAGGAGGGGTGCCATGTGTTCAAAGTCAGCGTAGGCTACTGAGTTCAAGGCCATCCTGGACTATACAGTGAGATCCTATCTCAAACAACAACAAAACAGACCACATACTAGCCAATGAAGCATCCTTAAATAGGGACAGGTGTAGTGGTGCACACCTGTAATCCCAGTACTTGGGAAGCTGAGGCAGGAGGATTGCCATGAGCTTGAGGCCAGCCTGGGTTACATGGTGAATTGAGACCCTGTCTCAAAAATAAACCGATAAAAAGTTTTTAAAAGCATGCTTAAATACAAGAGAACTGAAATCCAATGCATAGAATTAGACCATAGTGCAATGAAACTAGAAATCAAAAGAAACTACAGAAATTATGCAAACACATTGAGATTAAACAGTCATTCTTGAACAATCAATGGGTCACAGAAGAAATAATGAAATAAATTAGTTCTTAGACTAATATTGTACTGATATCAAATGATATCAGTACAATATACCAGAATCTTTGGGACACAATAAAAGCAGTCCTAAGAGGGAAGTTTATAACTGTAAATGTTTACATCAAAAAAACAGAGCAAGGCCAGGGATTTAGCTCAGTGGCACTGTGCCTGCCTAGCACGCACAAGGTCTCGAGTTTGATCCCCGGTACCAAAACAAAACAAAACAAAAAACCAACAAAAAACCAAAAACAGAGCAAGCCCAAATAAATAACCTAATAATGCACCAAGTGCTTAGAAAAACAAGAAAAATCCAAAGCCAAAGCTAGTACAAAGAAGGAAATTACAAAGATCAGAGCTAAAATTACTGAAATTGAGGCCAAATTTTTAAAAAACCCAAAGACCTGATTCTTCAAAAGAATAGACAAATTCGTAGTCAATCTTAACAAAAAGAAAGAATGAAAGAAAGAAAGAAAGAAAGAAAGAAAGAAAAAAATCCCATATCAATGCAATTAAAAATGACAAAGACAAAATCACCATGGACACCACTGAGATTCAGAAGATTATTAATAGCTACTTTGGAAACCATACTCTAATAAATTAGAGAACTCAGAAGAAATGGGTATATTCCAAGTTATATATGAATTACCAAAATTGAACCAAGAAGATATAAAAATCTCAAATAATCCAATAACAGGCAATGAAATTGAAGCAATAATAAAAATTTTACTGAAGAGGAAAAACCCAGGACCTGATGGATCCACCCTTGAATTTTACAAGAACATCAGGAAAGACCAAACACCAATATTCCTCAAACTTTTTAATAAAATTTGCTAAACTCATTCCTGGAAGCTAACATTACCTTTATTCCAAAACCAGACAAAGACTCAACTAAAAAAGAAAACTATAGCCAAATTTTACTAACAAACATAGATGTAAAGATCTTCATCAAGAGACTGGCAAAAAGAATGCAACATATCATTAAAAGGTCATATATCATGACCAAGTAGGCTTATCCCAGGGATGCACAAATGGCTCAACCTATCCAAATCAATAAATGTACTAATCATATAAATGGACACAAAGACAAAAATCACATGCTCAATCTCAAATAGAGAAAAAGCCTTTGATAAATTCAACATCCATTCATGATGAAAAAAAATCTGAAGAGGGCCGGGGATTTAGCTCAGTGGTTCTGCCGCCTGCCTGGCATGCGCAAGGACCCAAGTTTGATTCCTGGTACCAAAAAAAACAAAACAAAAAAACCAAAAAAACTGAAGAAAATAGGTATAAAAGGACCTTACTTCAATCTGATAAAAGCCATTTATGACAAATCTTCTACCAACACCATATTAAATTGGAAAAAAATGAAAGCTTTTCCTTTAAAATTAGGAACAAGACAAAGATGTCTATTATCTCCACGCCTGTTCAATATCATACTTGAAACTTTAGAAAGAGCAATCAGGCAAGAGAAAAATAAAGGAAATGCATACAGAAAAAGAAGTCAAACTATCCTTATTCGCATATGCTATGATCCTTTGCATAGAAGAGCCCAAAAATTCCACCTAAAGATTCTAGAACTGTGATGGCAAACCTTTCAGAGCTTTCAATGATAACAAATAGCCTGCTGCAGCATGGATCCTATAGGTTCACCACCAGTACCCTAGTACTAATAACCAAATTCAATAATGTATCAGAATACAAAATCTACACACAAAAATCAATGGCATTCCTGTACACTGATAATGAACCCATTGAGAAAGAAATAGGGAAAACACCATTTATAATAGCTACAAGCAAAATTAAATACTTAGGAATTAATTTAACAGAGGAAGTAAAAGACCTCTATAATGAAAACTATAGTATTCTGAGATCAAGGAGGACGTCAGAAAGTGGAATAATATCCTCTGTTCTAGGATAGGCAGAAGCAATATCATCAAAATGGCCATACTTCCAAAATGGAAACATAGATTTAATGCAATCCCAATCAAAATACCAATATCATTCCTCATAGAACTAGAGAAAATAATCCTAAAAATTCATATGAAAGCAGAAGAGACCCAAAAGAGCATAAGGAATCCTGGGCAATGAGTAAAGTAGAGCCACACAATTCCAAATTTCAAGTTAAATTACCAAGTTACAGTGATAAAAACAGGATGACACTGGCACAAAATTGACACATCAATCAGTGAAACAATAAAGGATGCAGAAACAACCCCAGGCACATTCAGTCATCTTCTGTTTTGTTTTTTTGGTACCGGGGATTGAACTCGGGACCTTGTGTTTTCAAGGCAGGCACCAGAACCACTGAGCTAAATCCCCGGCCCTCAGTCATCTTATCTTTGACAAAAGGGCCAAAAACATGCTGGAGGAAAGATACCCTCTTAAATGGTGCTCAGAAAACTGGGTACCCACATAGAAAAGATTGAATCTAGACCCATATCTGCAACCATGTACTAAACTAAAAATCAAAGATCTAAATATTAAAATAGAAACAATCTGCTGGAAGATAACAGGTAAAACTCATGAAGACATAAACTTTGGTAAGAACTTTGTGAACAGGACCCAAATTGCACAAGAAATAACATCAAGAATCCACAGAGAAGCCGGGGAGTTAGCTCAGTGGTAGAATGTTCATCTAGAAAGCATGAGGCCCTGGGTTCGGTCCTCAGCAGCAAAACAAAAACAAAAACAAAGAATCCACAGAGACTTCTGGGAAGATGGTGGAATAGTGAGCAGCTGACAAACAGCCTCTGTGATATTTGGAATCCCAGTGCTGGAATATAGCAACATAAGCAAGAGGAGGAAAAAGGAAGTGGGTCCCTGGGATGGAGCAAGGATCTGAAATGAGAATTAGAGCCCATGGGGAGAATGAAGAGAGGAACCACAACCCAGAAGCAGAAGGTGGTAAGCACTGAGCCCATCAGAATCCCTTCTCCAGGGCCAGGGATTCAGCTCAGTGGTTCTGCCTCCTGCCTCACAAGCGTAAGGTCCTGAGTTCAATCCCTGGTACAAAAAAAAAAGAAGAATGACTTCACACAAGAAGAGCTTGGACTGAAGTATTTCAAGCCATAAAAGAAAACCTAATTGATATACTCCACAAGAATATCTTTCAAAATTGATGGAGAAATAAGATACTTCCATGACAAAGAACACCTGAAGGAATTCATGACCACCAAATCAGTATTCCAAAATATTCTGAAGGACATTCTAGAAAGAGATAACAAAGACTACAACTCCATGAACCCCAAAAGAAGGATTCTACCAGGCAAAGAAAGTAATTAAACAAAGGGGAAATAAGGAAACCAACAAGAGGCAAAGAACATGACAAGCATAAGTCAATACATATCAGTTATAACCACCGACGTAAATAATCTCAATTCACCAATCAAAAGAAACAGACTGGCAGAATGGATCAAGAAGCAAGATCCAACAATATGCTGCATACAAGAAACACATTTAACTAAAAAAATTCATAGACTGAAAGTCAAAGGATGGGACACAATACTCCATGTGATAGGAACCCAGAAAAAAGCAGAGGTAGCTATTCTATTTGCAGACAAAGTGGATTTCAAGCC